GGTTTTCTCTCCCATGGTAATGTGTTGGTTAAGGGGCAGAGGCACTAAGCATCCATCGGATGATGCTCTATGGGCTTGACCTGAAGTCTGCTGAATCCAATCAAAAGATGCTCACTGTTCTCAGAGGATGATGAAGCAAGTTTTAAGTGTTTTTCTTCTGTTAACTTCAATTTTTAATATCTTGTCTTCAGTCCCTGTGAACTGACACTATTGGTAGGTATGTGCTGAGACTGAGAACGTTGTATGCTGGCCATGCCCCCCAGGCCTGACAGAAGCATCAATTAGACTTGTAATATGACAACAAAAGAGAAGTGCTAAAGAGCCCTCACATTTTTTGGAAAATGTGAGAAAATTAATGACAAGACTTTTTTTTTTTTTTTTTAGCAAAAAGGGTGGAATTTGAAGCGCAAAACTTAGAAAGAAATCACTGCAATCATGTCAGCCTTCTCCAGCTGCCAAATTCTGCAAAACCTGTGGCACACACACACACACACACAAGAAGACAAAAAGAAATCTGCTTCTTTTTTGTTCCCAAGAAAACCTGTGGAGGATCTCTATCTTGAAAAGATAACAATTTGAATTAATTGTTGATGTTGATTAATTAATTATCTTAAGAAGCATTTCCCAGGGCACCCACTCAGCTAAAGGTGTTGAAGGAAGCTCATGATAAATATTTTACCCATCTTTGACCTTCCACAAGTTAGGCACCACTCTAAACATTTCACAGGGCCTTCAAATGAAGGCCAGGGAGAAAAAGGTCCAATTTCTGAGGATTGTTCATGCTGCCTGTCTTAGGCTGTGCCATGGGACTGACTCCTCTGGAGTTGTTGCTGTTGCTCTCCCGTGCCCCTGGATGTCCAAACGTGGGTATCAGAGGGGAGGTTTTAAGTGGCAGGTTCACAGCCTGCTTGGGGCACTGTCTGAGCACTCCTCAAAATGCTGCAGTGATACTTTTGCCATCTCATGTGATGTGTGGATGCACCTTTGCTTTCCCAAGCTCTATCCTCATTTTACCCCCAGAGCCTCACTGTTCTGGGCTGTGTTCAGGTGCACAGAGCTTCAAACACCTCAGAAGTGCTCTCTAAACCCAGGCCTAGACAATGAGAATCGTTGCCCTTTCCATCTTCATTTCCCTTGGCACAGGATTAGGTCACTGGCTGGGGGTTCCAGTGCAGTACTGATGAACACAAACAAATGGAAGAGACAAAGAGGAGGTGTGAGCATGGGAATGCAGGAACAGGGAGCTGGCTGGGGAGAGGGGATGATGTTCAATGTACTCCAGGGGAGAAGGGATGATATTGAAGGTGCTCCAGGACAGAATGTTTAGGAGGCACACTCCAAAAACCAAAGTGTTTGATGTAATGAGGACTTTCAGTTGAATTTTTTGTTGGGCGTGACTCCATTTTTCTCTGTTGTTTAATAACTTCTCCAAAACTTGAAACTAATATCTGTTTTCTTTTTTGACACATATTTCACTGCTGGAAGAGATTTTGCTTGCTCTCTGGCTTTTGAAGTCATTTAGATGTGTTTTAAAGGGGAGAAAGGCAGCAGAAGGGATACCTTTAGTACCCCTTTAATGAAATGGTGTGCTCTGGTACACTGCAGATACGAAGATCATCATGCTGGTAGTAGAATGCAGTATGCTGGGAACCACAGGAGAGCAAATTTTAACTCCTGCCCTCTGCCTCACACACAGACTGTCCTATTCTAGGCTTTGGACACGGTGAGGTAGAATCATTCTGGGTTCAAAAGCAGTCACTGCAATGTCTCCAAAATATGATCTCATGTCAGAAATAGTCAAGGAGTTAATTCTGTGCTGTAAAAATGTTATTTGGAAACTGCTGCTTTTAAATAATTGCCATCTTTTTATGTATTGGGTATGTTTTACCAACCCAGAACTCACTTTTATACTTGAAACAAAGCTGAGAACAAAGGCTGCCTGTGTGAAACAGAACTGCTTTAAACACAGCTGCAGGTGCCTGCACAGTGTACATGTCTGAAAGGAGAGCACTAAAGTCAGAGAAATAAAATGGCCACTGAACTATTATGTACAATGAAAATTCCTGGTTAAACATATTCCTGGCTAATCATTCCATTTTACAGTGCAGCCTGTGTGTCCCTGGGGTGAAAGTCACAGTTGGTTACGAGGACCTTGGAATGAACTGCCTGAGAACTGTGGTGTGCATCCCACAGCCCTCTGCTGGAAGAAATTTGGAGCTCCCAAGTGGATCTGACAGAAACAAGCAGAAATTGATTTTTCTATTACTAAAAAAAAATTTCATCTTAAAAAAAATGTATACCCTTTTCATAAAGGAGAGCTGAAGACCTTTACATTTCCTTAGAGTTCAAAACTTCCTCAAGTACTTCAAGACCAAATAGAATAGGAAACTTCCAGCATGGTGGAAAGTAAGACATGAATTCTTATACACCACAGTTCTTTTTATTTGGCTCCCTTTCCCAACCCTTTTCTTTGGCAAAAGTTGGTCACTAATAAATATGTCCCTGTGGAAAAATAATTAATGAGAAAAATCTCAGCTGACCTACAGTATATAGCATACAGCATGCAAGTTATGGATGGGTAGGGGATTTTCCAGTGGCCAAGTTATTCCATGACTTTGGAAGTGCATGTAAGTGGACTTTATTCTTACCACTGCACTGCACTGAGGGCTTATGATACCACTTACTACATCTGGTCTGAGGGAGGTGACATGAGATCTGTTGTTTTGGGTTTCTATTCCCTGACCATTTCATTAGTGCCAAGTGGAGAAATAGCTCTGAATGGAAGGGAGGAAAACAGCAAAAGGAGGATTGAAAACTTCCTTGGGCTGTAACCCAACCATTTGTCCTGCCCATATATCCTTACTGGAATACTCAGATAATGTGAAGGGAAAGAAAGTGCAATTGTGACAGAATTTCTTTCTTTAGGTGCCAAGTGCCCTTGAGGGTGAATCAGGTCTCTGTGGATGCAGAAAACTGAGCTATCTCTGAAATCCAAGAAGGAAAACATTCTCAGTGGAACCAGAGTTGGCATTTACTCTCCTGGTACGTTGCCAGAGCTTAGGTACGGCTGAAATTTGATGCAGGTTCCATTTCTGAATTAAGGAAAATCGCTTTCTAATAATTTGGTGAAAACCAATGCTGCAGTTTAGATGTGTTGACATTAAATAGCTTTTGATTTCTGATTTGTTCCATAGTGTTAAGATGGTGCTGGAGGCAATTAGCTGCAGTTGGAAGTAGGGGAATGATTGATTGTTCTGCTCCCTCTCAGCTGCTTTGTGAGTTTAACTTTTATCTACAGCTTAAAATCAAAGGGTTCTTTTCTTTTTTTTCAAATTGGTTTACAATCTGTTGACAAAAAGGCCTTCCATCTGAATAGATCGTATACTCTGCGTAGCTGGATTAAAAATGACAATTATATTTGAAGGAAGATAATATTTTCCTGATTATTTCTTTCGGGGGGGAAAAAAAAAGCTTTATGTTGTAATTTCTGTTTTCACTTGATGACTTAAGAGCCTTTTTTCATTTAGAAATTACTTCACTCCAGCTCTGCTAAACAGTAATAGATCAGTATTTGTTTGGTTTGGGTTTTAAGTCACTATAGGCTCTAAATTTGCAGCTGGAAGTCGATGAAGCTCTGTGCTGACTTAGGTTAGAATGAACAAACAGGGATAGACTCCTTTTCGATATATTTAAGCATATTTTCAAGAACAATCATGCAGCAATTAAGTGAGTGAAGGGCAGTTTTTAGTACCAAACCCACACCCCTCCCATCATCTGAAAAGCATTATTCCCTGATCTTAATTAGGAAGTGAGAGGTGTTGAGGGACCTTGGTACCAGGCACTACAGTGTGACTGTTGCAGCCCTTGCTGACCTGCACTGCAAACATTTCCTTCCTGTCAGCTCTTCCCTGGATTTCACAGTTCACCCAGAAAAGAAGGGACAGGATGCCAGAACTGTTTCCACGTTGCTGGTAGCACAGTTAGCTTTCTCTGGAGATGACCATCTGCCAGAAGCCTGGATCTCAGCACCTCTTTGGGGATAAGAATTTTTTTTTTTTTTTTAAACAATCTCTGGATGAAAAATGCCCACGGTGTGCAGGGGCTGATCTTCACAACAGGCTCTGCCTGCAGCCAAAACCCAACAGGGATAAAAAGGGGAGCTTCAAAAAGCAGCTAGATTTACAAACCTGTGAGCAGGAAATACTGTGGTAAACATTATTGTCCCGGGCTTATTTAGGGACCTTGAGGAGAGTGCAGACACACTCCATGTCTCTGTCGTGCCTCGTTCAGTGGTTACGGCTCCTGAGCAGAGAACAGAGAATGCTAAGCTGCTCTGGGTAAGGAAGCAGGAGAGATGGATGGGATCAGAGCCTTGCTTCCCAGTCTGTGCTGCAGTCTGCTCAAGAAGCTGCATGCAGGAGGAGGGGTCAGCTTCTCTACAGAAAAAAACAGTGGAACAAGAGGTTGAGGTGTTGCTGAATCTCTGATGTGCCTCTCAGGGCAGCAATAAACTGCTCCTTCCTCAGGGTACATGTTAAAATTGCCATCTGCCCTACCTAGATCACACCTGGTAAGAATAAGAGAAGTTTGAGTGGCAGCTGGGTTCTGGAGTTCATTGGCATTCGCAGTGTCCAGCTATTAGTTCTTATGTTCCATCCTCAAGCTTAGCTTATAAAGATGATACACCCATAAATTATCCAAAGAAGAGGGCGAGACGTGCAGACAGGCGAGATGAAGAGGGAGGAGGATCAGAGATTTTAAGGCCACGACAGAATTCTCTGTCTCGTTTTGTAGCCAGTGTGCATATTTATGATGCATAGATGGGAAAGGCCCACAGAGAAAATACAGCTCACAAATCATCTCTCTCAGCGTGCTACAGAGTTTGTTAAAGTTCACTCATGTCTCCTATGCTTGTACTCCATTAATCATTCTTGCTTCTGAAAACAGGGTAAACTTGTATCCCAAATCTGCATTGAGATCATGTCCATTCCCTCTCACAGCTGTAGCTCTTTCAAGTCTGCCTCAACCTTCCTTCTCACAGGAATGAATAGGAAGATCACAGCTTTTTTAATGGTATGTGTCATCTCCTATAGACAGTGACATACAAACCTCAGTCTCTGGGTGTAAAGGTTCTCCTTAGAGACCTGTTCTCTGTCTCCAAAACAATCTTACGGAATGTTGAAGGGCAGAGAGTTCTTTTCTTTGATCTTAAAATCCTTCGGTAAGAAACACTTGATCTGGGATTAGGTGATTGTAGTATTTTGTCCATCTGCATTTTGACTTACTGTGCAAGTGGAATAAAAGTTGAAAGTGGATATTTTATAATACTTTTATAATTGAATTTTTTTTTAAAGAAACCTTGACTTTCAAATAAGACTTTTACAATTGGTCAGTAAGCCTTTTCCTCTTCTGAATGTTCATACTGGAGAGCAACAAATAGCACATCTGATGCTGGATTTAATAAATCCTAATTTTATACTGATGTACATTTGCAGGCTTTTGTGATGCTATTCCTGACTATAAAACTACCAGTGAGATCAGACTCATACTCATGAAGTTGACTCAAGTTTATGTAAAAATTAGAATAAAGCAGATATCCACTATGTGCTCTTGCAGTTGGGTGCTCCCAAAATCCCTCTGCACTCTGTTCTCATGCAGCACATGTGTTACAACTGAAAGGGAAAACAGCATGAATTAAAAATTAGTCATTTGTTTTTCTCCAACACCTTCTATCCACAAAAACTGAGATTTCTAAACACAATCTAATTAAACCAAATTCTATCCCTGACTCAAACAGATTATATGTGTGGATGTAGAAGTATTGTAGCTCTGCCCACCACTGTAATAAAGCTGTCTCTGAGCTCCACAATCTGTGTTAACCCCCTGAAAGGGATTTTCTTGCATTAGCACAGGGATTTTTTTGGCGTGTTTTATCAGTCCTCTATCAGGGCATTCACAATCAGTCCTGACCTTTCCAGTGGAACAGGTTTCTTGGGGTTACAGACAGTATTCCCTGCTGTTGGCACACAAAAGGATTAGGTTCTTCTCTATCTGGCAGTGGAATTAGTATCTTCAGTAATAAATATTTTGACTATAATATTTGGGTGCTCCAGGTTCAAGAGTCGCTGAGAACCAAATGGAGGCTTAGTCATCATGAAGATAATTAAAGAAAAATGGAGCATATTCATTTCTGTACTAGCTGGGATTTTCCCTTTCTAAATGCTGTGTGATTCTCAACATGGTTTTCTTTCTTTTACTCTGTGTCCTTTTTCTTTCTGTCTTCTTCATTGTACTGGTATTTATAGTTATGAGAGATTATGGTCAAGTCTTTTCCCATTCAACAGCTAAATATGAAAGCCCTGAGAGAATAGAGATGGAACACGAGGATATAATGCCTCCTGATGGAGCTATAGCTATTGCTATAGCATAACATCTTTAAGACAGAAAGCAAATATCTCATAATCCAGTCAAATGTTTTTATTCCTTTAACACATACACATATCTGATGTGTGCTGGATTCCAATGTGAACAGGAAAACACCCTTGCTTTTAATATTCCTTCTTCATTCTGCTGTATTGATTTCATGGTAAGTTGCATAGCATTACCTGCAATTATTTGTCATTTTGCTCTTTAAAAAATCATCTAAAGTCATGGCCAGGGCTGCAAATGAGATGATCACTGGAGTGGAACAACAGTATCCAAGTTACACTGGCTTGTGCTTAAGGGAATTCAACTTGCATATTTACAGCATAGCCCTCAAAATTTCTGCCTGTTTTTGTAGGAGCTGGAGATGCTAAAGATTTTATATAAAGGGGAAAATCACAACTTAAAGGACTGCTTGAGAAATCAGAAACAATTCAGTAAAATTCATGTTAAGTTTTGATCCCAGCGCTGTGAAAATTTGAAAAAAAAAATGGGAGAAATGGTCACAAAATTGTTTGTAAAAATATTTGGAGGAAGAGCAATAAGAGGGATGTGTGAGCTCATAACTCTAAATGGGGATAATTTTCTTCCAAAAAGAAATGGTTTTAGCTTTAAGATAACGATCTTATTTTGATTGAAAGGTACATCCAGACATCATCATAAATCCCACTGCTGAGCCAACCATTAGCAAGGCCACTACTAATTTCAGTATGTGCATCATTGATTCCAATAGAAATTCCCTCTACTCCAAGTCCTTAACTTAGATTTCTTCCTCACTTCTTAGGCAGAACCAGAGAGGTTCCCATAACCCAATTACTGTTAGACAGTGCAGCACAAAATCTGAGTCTATGCAGCTAAATAACATATATTAACATTAGTTAATAAATCAGATTAGTCAGCCACAAACAACAAATATGCAATATAAATGAGAATATTGAAGAGTATACAGGTCAGAACGTAAAGTGCCACTTATCAGATACTAAAATGCATTTTTCAGTGTTTTCATGAGGCCACATAGGGTGATATGTGGGCAGAATCACACTGAACTCCACAGGACTGAAGGAGTGAACCCCATGTAGAGCAGGGAGGAATGTGACCTCAGGTACTCATTCACTGGTAAATCATGACAAAAAGTATTTCATTTGAATTTGTGTTGATAATTTTTATTTAAATTATGCTAATCTTAGCAAATAGCTTTTTAATTTTTAGCAATCAGGTTTAATTAAAACGCAAACGAAAGGTTAGAGGCACTGCCTTCAAGAGACATTCAAAAAAAAAGTATTAAAAGTGGAATTGATCACCTGTCATTGGTCAAACAGCAGAATTTTGAGTGAAATGGGCCGACAAGAGCAGGCAGCAGCTCTCATCTCCCACACGTTCTACCATCTGCAAAAGTTCTATTGAACAAAGGGAAAAAAATGCCTTAAGTTCTAAAATATCTCTGACAACTGGAATCCCTGCTTTTTCATCCTGATGTGGGTTGTAATATTATGGGGTGGGTAAAGCCAAGCTGGGGGAGAGGATCTGAGAGGTACTTCCAGCCAGGGAATGGTCACTGTTTAATGGGTGTAAAGATTTCTGTGCATCTGGGCTTGGGGGTTACTTCTAGATGTCTTAAAGCTGATATCTGTAGCAGGCATTCATGGCATATTGCAGTGCATCAAATTCAGAGAGGGACATGTTTTCCTTAATGCTTTCTTTAACTATTCCAATACTGATAACACATATTAGAGCTCAGAGGGAAATAACCATGTTCATTCTGCCAATTCTGCCACAAGCGTGTTTTAAATTGTAAAAGCTCTTGGCAACAATTCACTTTTTGCATACTTTTAAGGGATAAAATATCTAAACAGTAAAGAAATCTGAGTCATGAGCAGCAGCCATGGAGAATATCAATTGACATAAAGTAACAGTGGCTCGTAAATCCAACCCTTTCCCTCCCTTGCTCTTCCCTTACAATGAATTATGATTGGAAGTGACAGAAAGATGTCCAAATTTGTCAGTCCTAGTCCAGCATCCTTCAGTTCATAAATACATCCTACTACAACCAGTCCCTCCAAGACAGCACATTAAAAGTATTTTTGAGGAAATATTTTAAAAGACTTTTTAATATTATAAAGACTTTTTAAAAGTCAGCAGTGTTCATTTTCCCTACGTGTCTCTGGCATTACACAAGGGATGAATTTGGCCCAGTAATTAAGTACCAAATGTTCTAGTGACCTGCAAACAGTTCAAGACCAATGAAAAACTTGCTTGCTTGAGGCAATAGATGATCTACTGGAGGAAAAAAAATATTTGTCTGGTTCTTTGGGCAGCACTTTGGATCATGTCAGTCCCTTGTGACTGGATTTAGAAAACCAGCTCCCAATGGAAGAGCCTATTCCTACAGAGCACATCAAAGCAAGCCCCCATTTAAGTGGTTTTATGAACTAGCAACATTGAGCTATTCTTTGTATTATTTCCAATAACTTCTATATCTTTGAAATGACACTCACTGATTTTCTGCTGGTGCCAATCAACTGGAAACCCACCTTGTGGAAATGCTTTAGTGCCAAATGAGAGATCATAAAAGGCTGCAGGTACAGCTCCTTGGGCTCTGTGTCACAATTTCATTCCACAGGCATTAATACAGTTCCCTACATTAACAATCAATATTTTATTAGAGCAGTGAGATTCCCCTGCCTTTATACTTTTTTTTTTAATGGGTTGTTGCATTTAATGTGTGTATGAATCTGGCTGTCTGGAGACAGGTAGTGGTCGCTTGGGCGAAGGCAATCACTTCCTAATTTACTAATAACACATAAAGTTTAAGGGGAGAGGTTGGCAACCTCAGATGGAAGATTAAATGAGTGAGACTCACAGAGATTCCTTTAGCTAGAGAAGTTGATTTATAGCATGCAGGAAAATCTTTCTTTTGGAAATGGAATGAGCAGGTGGCTACAATTTATATAAATTAAACCTTGGACTTGTTACTTTGGCTTGAGGTGGGGTTTTTTTTTCCTCTCTTTTTAACAAAGCTACCTGGTGCATAAATAATGTTTGGTTCTTTTTCTAAATGTTGGCTCTGTACAGTTGTTTTTAACCATTGAACCTTTTGGAATCAATTGTAGGATTAATCTAATTGCAGGTTCACTCTTTGCTCCTTATTCTGTGGAGCATAGTGCAAAAGGAAAACTGTGGCCAGGGAGAGAAATCACAGCTTTGCATTCTTGTCTCGTGTCACTTTTCTCAGCCAGTCTCTGCTCTATCATTACAATCAAAATTCTTTATCCTGAAAATTGCGACATGAAATTTTAAAGCTTAAAATAGCACTTCTGTAAGGCAGAGATTAGATTATGCAAAGTGTTAATGCAGCATTAACTGAAGAGTCCCAATTAAATAATTATAAATAGTTACAAGTCTAGCCTTTTCATTTCCAGAACGCTGTAGTTTAAAAGTTTTGCTCTCTCCTTCTTTTCCTCTGTCAATGTTCCTGCCAGTTAAAAAGGACTGAGACCTCTGCAACATTTGATTTTTCTTTTTTTTTTTTTTTTTTTTAAATAGAAGACATAAAATTTAGGTTATAAAACTAACAAGTATTATTTTGAAAGAAAGTGATATCTCTGCCGGAGACATTCAGTGGTTTAGACTTATTTTCAGGGCTGGAAAAGGTGCCTGCTGACACTGTACGGTAAAAGTCTAAGTACAATGGAAATCCTGTGTAGTGAATAGACATGTACAAGGTCAAGACCAGAGTTCTGCAGTTTAGGCACCCAAATAAAATATTTTCAAGACCATGCAATGATCTGGATTTTGAACACTTCTTTAAAACTCTCTGGACATTGCTATTGTGGTCATGAACATGCTTATATACCTAAGTATGCAGGTGTAGGTGTATTCACTGCAGGCATTATTCATAAATCTAAGTTGCATCTCCATGCTCATGCTTCTTTAGGAATTATTGAGGAAATCACAGGAAACAGGACTTTTTTGACAGTCGTTGGAATGGGATCAGAGCAGGCAACCTCTGCATTTTTTCCTGTCCTTGACTGTTGTTTTTCCATGGTCACATTCACCTCTGACTGTTTCTTTTCACCCTGTTCCTCACTCCACTCTACATCAACAGAGTATATGTCCTTTCATTCCAGAACATGTGGGGTTTTTTTCTTTCTCTTGTTTTATGTACTGAAAACACCGGGGGTTTTGACTCTTAGGGAGTGACTGTTGTTGCAGTTCATGGTTAAAATGTGTTTTGGGCAGATTCATAAGTTAAACCCAACTGCTCATATATGACCTTTTCCCAGCTTGTTTCCTTTTTTAATCTATGCAGTAAAATCAGAAAGAAACGGTGAGATTATTTTGTTGATTCATTATACTAATAACCTAATCACAAAAGAGTATTACATGTCAGGTACAGGAATCTACAGCATTTTCACAGGCTAGAAAACTAGTTCAACTGAACAGATAATTCCTTTTTTAAATTCAATGCAAACCAAGTGTGCCTTGAAAGCCTGTTTTATCTTCCTTTGCTCATGGAATTTACCTTTAAGGAACAATGTTCTGAACAATTATAGCACGATCACTTAAAAATATCACCACTGATGGAAAAATATAAACCCCCTAATCTTCTAGTTCTCCCTACTGCTTTTTGGCTGCAGTAGCCTTCCTGTTCTCCCATGGGGAGGCAAAGGGTAGCAGTTGGATACTTTTGGAAATGCACAGCCCACCCTGGGATTCCCCACCTACTAAGGATGTTCGATGTTGACTGTATTCCACCTGGCAGTGATTGTGTCAGGACCATCTTCTGCAGACACACCTTGTTCAGAGAAGCATCAATACTTCAGAAATACCAGCTACAGTGCTTGGAACCCATTGCACCCTGCCCAGCCCTGCTCTGTGTGAGTAGGCAGGGTCTGCATGTCCACACACAACATGGTCAGTGGCCAATGTGTTTGTAAAGGTGCAGTGACAGCTGCCACTGCTGGAGGATGAGGCTCCAGAGAGCTCTGGTCTTCAAGGGATGGTCAATTCTTCAACACTCTCATTTCTCCCTTCTCCTACAAGTGTCTTCATTCACCTTTGATGTGCAGTAGGAAAACCTGTTATATCCTTGCCTAATCTGTGGTGAAGTTAATGTTTCTCAGTGATATGCTCTCCCTACTCTGAAGGAAAAGCAATTTCCCCTCTACACCAGCCAGTTCTGTCTTGAATAGATACAATTAATTCTTTCACTAATCTCGCTAAGCGTTAGGCCAACACTCTCTGCACGAAATCACTTCCCAATTATTTAGCTGGTAACATCATCATCAGAACACCACCCTGCCTGGGGAGTGGGAGGCAATCAACCATTGCACAGCCATTTGAACCCCGACACCGGGTACATGCTCAGCTCCCTGAAGAGGGAAATGCAGTGACTCAGATTGCTGAAATGACAGCTTTTGCACAAGCAGGCCTTTTTATTTTTTTTCCAGTGGTGGCAGATACCAGCTCAACTGATAAACTTGTTACAACCCATTGCATTCCATCAGAAATTCTAGTCAGCTGTAATATCATATTTTCTTTTCTGCAGAGCCAGGAGAATAAAAAATAAACAACAGAATGGGCTGTAATCTGTTTCTCCTCCATAGACATCTAAAGTTATGCTTGAACACTTTTTTGGGGCTGTAGCATGACAAGTTACCTCTGATTCATACCTTGTCATGGCATAAGGTAAGACACTAATTATTTACCTAAGATGTTCCTTGTCTCATAATAATATACTTCACAATTTATTATACTTCTTCCTCTCTAAAATACCATCTTCCCAAGGCCACCTTTTTAAGTGATGTATAAAGATGTGGTTAATCATGAGTCATTATCACAGCCTTAGTACAGCAGGGACAAAAGGAGAGCAATCTGATATCAAAGTGAAGATGGGACAAACCTGAAAACACAATTTGCATTTAGCATTAAGAAATAGGGATATAATTCCAGGTTGGTAGATCAAAGCAGTGGGATAAAGAGCATTTGAACTCTATTAAGGCAATCATACAAGCTGCTGAAACAGTAGCTTGCTGGTGAGACATCTTGCTTAATTGCTGAAATGAAAACTATTTATAAAATGGCCCTATTCCTGGAGGCACAGGTAAAGGAGGACAGCTGTTCTGCATGAGAAAACCTCCCATATTTTGTGTTTTATATGGGTTTCACCTCAGAGATCCTAATGTATATCTTGGTGAAGGCGTTGTCTCAAATAACGTAATTGGAGCACACAAAATTAAATTTTAGGACTCGCCTCCCGATGTTCTAGGTCTGGTAACTTGGCACCTGGGGAGCCAGAGAATACCACTGAGGTATTTATTCACTTGATCTTGGTTGATATTTCAGTGAAGATGGATGAGTGAGTGTGCAACTGCCGTTGTTATTCCTGTGAAACTGTCACAGTTGAACAGTGTAGTTCACCTGTTGCCTTCCCTTCTACCACCTCTGGAAGTGCCTTTGGGGAACACTACAGAGCACAGTTCGACTTTCCAGATAAAGGCATTTAAAATGGCAAAAAGGCCTCCCTCAAGTCTTTACAGTGGCAAAACTGATTAAGCAAATTAAAAAGAAGGAGTGGGAGAAAGGAGGAGACCTTGCTTTGAAAAGCAATGCTGTATTTACTAGTGAGCTAAAATTTGATTGTTATCAAAGTATTAAATTTGGTGCGTTTTTCGGGTTGAATTTGTTTTGTTGGGATATCTTCCCAAATAGAAAATATTTCTCACGTCCTCTTATTAGGAATTGTCTCATTCTTTCCCAAAGCCACTATCCCCAGGGTGACCCCTTTCCCTCATTCTTAAAGATGGATCTCCAAAGGGAAAGCATCTCCTCCCTCAACACGTCTCCCCTTGACAAGGAGCAGTTATGACAAGATAAGAAAGCTCAGGCCTGTCACTTGTCCCTGCTGCAAACCAGTGAGTGCTCATCAACCAGTTAACCTACAGCTGGTGTTTATTTCTGATGACAGTGTTATCTAAGAGATAAGGCTCTGGATTCTCGTTCTGATTCTGGTAGTAAGCCCTGTGTGACATGGGCCTTATCGCTTCCCTTCTCTGCCTGGTTTGGCTTTAACTCTTTTTGGCCACTGAGAAATAAACTGTGGTGGAATGAGGTGGGATTAAGGTTGTTTTGGCTTGTGGTTGTCGCTATAACACTATGTGAAAATAAAGCCTAGAAGATGGGTATGCAGAAAAAATAAGATACATGATCTTGTTAAATGCTGTAAAAGACTGTGGGGTTTATCATTAAACTAACCCAGTGTAACTTTGTACTTTTGGGGAATATTGTCTACAAACAGTGAAAATATTGGTATTTATTTCACCAAAACTTAGATGCTGCATCATCTTTCCCATTCCCCCCTTGGCAGTACAAGATAAATGGTCATAATGTTCTTTCTGTAGTGAAATTTTAAGATATGGCGAAATATCTGTGAGGGCTGTGAACTGACTGCCCTCTGAAATACTGTTTTTCTGGATGACCTTCTTCTTTTAAAAAAGAAAAAAAAAATCAATTCAGTTGTGTCTAAACATCTCAAGTTTGGAGATCAGCACTAGATTGTCATGATCTTTATTTAGTACACTGTTATTTGTTTAAAGCTGACGCTTCCTGACAGTATTAGGTTACATCTTAGGGAGATACTGTGGGTTGTGTTTGAAGTTGCATCTTGGATTTACTGCAGCTGCTGTAAATATCAGCTAAGGAACCTTCATAAATTATGCTAAAGGTATCTCTCAGTTATATAAGAATTATTCTGGAATGGAAATTATTATCTGCCATCAGATATTTGTAGACTACTATAAAGCTAGTGAATTTATGGCATTTAAAGTTATATATTCAAGTGTCATTCCAGTTTACAGTACATGAGCACGTATATGTTGTATATACATATATGAACAGATACATATATATATATATATGTATATTCTGTACAGCACACAGTCAGAATTGATCTTACCATTAGTGTAGCTGTTACAGTTCTCCTGTATCCTGGCACAAATTGCAACTGTATAAGAAATTGGGAAGGTTTATAACTCAAATATTGTGCAGTTGGAGAAAGAGGCTTCCTAAATATATTATAAACATGCTTTACTCTGAGCACTGAGTGCACAGACCTCACAAGGCAGCAACAAACTCAATATTGCAACAAGCAAGCACGGATGCTTTTGAACTCCAGAGAACTTCTGTGCTCGCTGGTGAAGCCCTGAGACAGAACCCATCACTGCAGGGAAATTACTTGTACAGCTTCCCTTTGATTTTGAGGTAGCCTAACCTGAGTTGTGGAAGTACATTTTACAAGGTAAGACCAAAAAAAGGTAGACAACCTATTTAGCTTGAGCAGAAATTGTTAGCCAGAGTCCAGGCTTGAGACCAGTGGTCAGTCATTCCCCGTGGATAATCCTTAGCTCCATCCCTGTGGGGTTGGAATGAGAACTTTATTTCTGTGTGCCATCTCTTTAAAATTCATAGCACTCAGCTGCAGTCCTTTACAGCTGGGAGCACAGGTACACACACACAAACTGTGCACTTCGTTGCTCCCTTGCACTGATTTTACTTTTCATCTTTCACTCTCCATGACTCATTTCTGATGAAGGGAAATGACAAGAAAGAAAGAGCCTCAGGTCAGCTTTTGTGTCTGAAGGCACGACTGATCAGCTGGCAACAGACATCCCCAAAATAAAATCCCATGTGCTCTGTGCCAGAGAAACAAGACAGTTTTTTATGGCTGTCCTGAGGCTTGCAGTGGCAGGAGCTCTTCTGCACAAGTCTGGGAAAGATTCCTGATGCGATGAATTGTCCAGTTCTGGATGTTACATAAGACACTCAGCAAATACAGGCACCAGGTAACTAAACTTAATACATTTTGGGTCACCTGGGCATGTGTAGAGAAATGATTTACAAGGCCAAAGACACCTGGTAGTGTCTGACATTGTAGGGACTCCGTGACAGTCAAAGTCTCAGTGTAATGAATCCTGCCCAGCCCTTGATTATCACAAAGAGCAGAGTGAAAATGAGTAAGAGATTGGAGCAATAATAGACTCTCCAGTGACACAGTAATGATGGCAGCTTAAAGGCTACTGCTGACTGGATGGCCAGGAAAAGCAAATTTACCATAAATCAGCTGGCTGCAGGTTTGGGCTCGACACATGGTGCTCAGCTCAGGCACTCACTTCACTGTTTCACTGTTTGCTTTCACTCACAGGAAAGCTCTAGTGGAGCACTGATTGCATAAGGAATGCATAATCCTCTCTTTTAAATACTGTGTACCTTTGGGCCATTCCCTACCCTCAGTCTTTGTCCATCCTTTTCCACTGGCGGTGGAAAACTCTTCTGCCAAACTCTTCCGCCTCCTCTCTACCATAAAAATTAAGGCCAAACCTCAGTACTTCCCCCCTCCCCTGCAGTGTGACAGAGCAGTGTGACAGAGCAGCATGGAGCTTTGAGTTACCAGCCCTTCATGCCACCAAACCATTTCATTTTACTGTAAGTAGAGCTCTGTGGAGATCCTGAACTGCCTGTGCTGCCTCTGCCAAGACAGATCTCCACTAAGGGATAACTGAGATGTGTGGATTACCTCAGTGATGCATTTCATAGCTGCCCTTGCACTGAGGGGATCACAAATCCCAACCCAATATAGGGATAAGAATTCGGTAATTAACTGCAGAGACATCAAATTAAAAGTTTAGAGTCATTATAAAGAACCAGCTGCCCATTTAGCACCTCCTCTACTGCAGCGTGGGGCTGCTCCAGTGAGGGCTGAACACACGGTGTGCAAACGTGCCTGGATGTGTAAGATCCTGCAGTGTAAAATGTCAAGAGGCACAGAGATAAATGGGAGGAAAGCATGACAGTCAATTATATTTATAAAGGGCCTGATCCCAAGGCCATTACAGAATCTTTCTATTAACTTCAACACCAGCTTTGGACTAAGGCCAGGTATATTTGCAGTGGCAGTGAATCCATGATTATATCTGCCTGCAAAAGCAAGCTGTAGGAAAAGGGGAATTCTTGCAGTGCAGAATGTACTGAGCTATCACCTGCTTTTGGCAAAACCCTGTAATGTAGTTTTTCTACAATAAAAACAATAATAATTCTTCAGTCATAGCTTTGTGATTAAACCACACTGAGGCAGTGCTTTTTTCCTTTTTTTAATTTGCATAATTCCCAGTCTGCAGTGCAGAGAAACCTTTCGAGATATTAACTAGATTATAAAAATGTCATGTCAGATTTGAGAACTGTCACTAACACGAGACTTTTAATTATGAATAAATTAAAAAAGAGAAACTGCTTTTCCTGTGGCAGTGCAATTTTACATTATGCACAAACACTAAAGCTTAGAAGTGTTCAAAGACTGAAAAGTAAAAGGGAGATAAGAGAATGGATTATTCTGGAAAATAGGCGAAAGTAAAACTGATAAAACATTACTATTCAAATGATATCTTTACAGGAGTCATTACAACAGAATTAATGTTGTTGGAACACAGAGAGAAGCAAGGTTATAAACCATTCAAGCCCGTACACCAGAGATTTATTTCAGGAAATGAATCCTAGCACTTGTAGCAGCAGATTAGTAACCAGAGATCCAGCCAAGGGTGTGCAGGAGATGCACAGGATCTTACACCACACAGCTCTCACACAACTCAGCAGTGAGGAACATCTTTCTGTTTGGCAGCAACAGATACCCTGAGTGCTGTGAAGGATACTCTGATTTCACTGAGGTTACTCACATACTTCAGTTCATTCCCAGGCTCTGTGCCTGGCTCTGTCCCTGAATGTTTATCTGCCTTTAAAGTTAACAGATGTCACCAGTTTTCCCAAATATTTATCTGCTGAGTGGGACCAGTGGCTGCCTTCAGCCTCCTTTCCCTCCAGAACGTACCCAGGGCCAAGGTCTGTGCAACATGGGCAAGAAAAGTTACATCTACTCCTGCTGCAATGTGGATTGATTTATCCAGAAACAAAATGTACTGGAATACTCAGCAACCTCAGGGACATGCTGAGGAAACACGAACTGTGTCAGGAAAATGTTTTGCGTGGTGGGGGAGTCAATAAACCCTTCAGCAGAGGTAACCACACATCAGGTGGGATCTAGAGGCAGTTTAGCTCCATTGAGGCAACTTGGCAGCCCAGTGCCAGCACTGCCCGGGCACCACAACCTCTCCTGGGCACAACCTGTCACCTGCCTGACAGCCACCACATGGTCCTCCTGGCTCAGGCCATCACCAGCCCGGGGAAGGGCTGACTCATGTCCTGCTGCTCCTGAAGCATCTCCTGTGCTGCCACTCCCACTCCCACTCCAGTATGGAACATGCAAGGCTCTTTGGAAGCTTAACTCCATCATCCTGCTTCCCTGAGAACCAGGACACAACACTTGTGCATTGAGATTAGATGAAATCTGTATTTTTTGTGGAGGCTGAGAAGATTTGCTTTGTTGAAATATCCTAAAGATGATTAATTTAAAGCCCCCAAATAAATAAAATCATTACTGCCATCTCTTCTCCTGACAAAGATTTTTCAACATAGGAAACTAAGCATTAGCAACCCCACATATAGGTAGGAGCTGGAGTATCTGCTAAAGTGATATTTCATGTTTAAATGGACTTAAATTTACCAGATCTAATGGATAACAATATTTCAAAAAGAGACTTAATCTATTTCATTACATTTTATATTACTTTGTTTAATAAATCATCTTCCACTAGAAACCCAGCCTAAGATGAATTTAACAGACCTTATAAATGATGAGTCAATATCAGCTTTGTCATAAATTCATTTTTACTTTGCATACAGGCCTGGTGGGTACTTTTGTATTGCTTTATTTCAAATGATCCATAATTCATAATTAACT